AAACTCAGCTTTGGCTGTGAATATGCTGCTGGGGGCTTCCTTGCCACTTGCCAAGGACAAGGACAGGAGCTTTAATCTGAGCCTGGCTGATTTGAGATCTAAGGCCCAGGGGTAGCACAAGCTACTCTCCTGGTGTGTGTGTGTCCTGCTTGTTGGCACCCTGTGGGTAGAGTTCAGGTACATGGCTCAGTCTTCTCAATGCACAGGACAGCCCTGGGGCAACGATGATTGGGTCAGGCCTTGCCACAGGCAAAGAGGAAAGGACAGAGAATACACACACAGTCAGGAGGGGTGGGCCAGCTGCAGGCTATGCCTAGGAGAGTGGAGGTGGCTGGTGGGAGATGGACCTGCTCCTCCTCCCTTCCTGGTCCCATCCCTTAGCCCTCCAGATGGACTGAGCATCCCCCAGTGGCATGCTATGAACATGAAGTGGGAGTGCTTATACCCCACAACAGGCAAGGAGGTGCTTTCGAAAGCTGATGCATTTTCTAGAAGCATGGGAGTTAGCTGTTAAATGCTTGCTTTGGTCTAGCACGTTGCTAGGTACCAGAGATACCCTGGGACCCACCAGGCCAGGCTCCTTCTCCTACGGAATGGTAGGCTGCAGGGAAACATGGATGCTGGTCTAATGATTTCACAGATTAAGTTAATCCAAGGTAAGCGGTGCAGTGTCAGAAAACGTACTGGGTTAGTAAGAGCTTGTATACATGTGGGGGTTCTGGGGTGACACTAGTGACCAGGGTAGGGCTCCCCGACAGCAACAACATGTAAACAGAGCCCCAAAGGTTGAAAGGAACTTGCCACCCTCAGGACCAGGGAACAGCAGGGCACCTTCCCACTCTTGTCAATGGCTCCTGTTAGTGTAGGGACATCGTCTCTTCTTGGGCTATTACAGCTGCCGACTGGCCTCTTCCTCTGCAATCAGAGAACATGATAACAGGGTCTTTATCTTGAACCCCGTGTGTCTGTGTCTGTCTTCCTTCCTGTCTGTCTGTCTCTGTCTCTCACTCGTGGCAGGGTTCCTGGCTCCCTAGGTGAAAAGGCAGTGCCGGTAGCAATTCCTTAGCCCCAGAGCAGGCTTCTTCATCCTGAGTACCATCCCAGCTCTTGTAATTTCTAGAACCCTTCCCAGTGTTTTCCAGTAACGAGCACACATATTGAGCCTCACCATGAGTCAGTCCAGGTGGTAAAATTGATGTGACTGGAGCAAGGGTTGCCGTTTAGTTGTTAGAGTGCCTCTCAGCACAAGGCTCTGAGTTTGCTCTCCAGCACTGCGTAAGGGTGGTGGTACACACCTGTCATCCAAGCACTGGGAAAGTAGAAGCCAGAGGATCTGAAGTTCAAGGTCTTCCTTACTTATACAGTGAGTTTGAGACCAGCCTTGGCTACATGAGATACTGTCTCAGAAAAATCAAGTAGGCTGACCAGAGACATCATTTCCTGGCAGGACAGATGAATAGGCCCCACACCAGCAGCATCTGCAGACCGAGCTGGGGCAGAATGGACAGTCATTGACTGACACCCAAGGTTGTTCTCCAATCTCCAGGTGTGCATCCTGGTAGGCTTGTGCTCCTCCCCTGAGACAGAGAGAGCTGTGGGAAACCCCTCACTGTGCCCCCCTGGGAGTTAGATGCAAGCTTTCTTCAGATAAACAAAAGTTTTGAAAGTTTCCCACTCTCTTCCCAAATACTTTCAATCAAAGGAGATTTTCTCCTCCTCCTCCTCCTCATTTTTGAAGGCAGGGTTTCTCTATGCATCCCCAGCTGTTCTGGAACTCACTTTTAAACCAGGCTGGCCTTGAACTCACAGAGACAGAGTGCTGGGATTATAAGTGTGTGCCACCACCACCCGGCCCAAAGGAGATTTTCACCCACCTTCTTGGGAAGTTGGAAAATAGAATCCCAGAATCTGTCTCTGAGGTAAACTGATGTTTACCTCAGAATTATTTCAAGCAAACACATATCAGTGTAAAGTAGTCATGATCACAGTGCCCCATTACTGGTCTTCAGGATTAAAACTAGACTGCAGCACTGTAAAGCAAGGGGTGCTGGGAACCTCTGGTGTCCATTCTGACTATCAGAGCCAGGACTTTAAGACAATGACAGATAGATGAGCTGTAGGCCTTGGTCAGCTGACTCTGCATAGTGAGTGTGAGCAGGGCCACTAAAGCAATGGGTGAGGCACTAGAGTGTGCCTCAAAATCACCGGGACCTCTGTGGAAGCTGGGCTACCCTGCTACCCCTAGAGTCGCTGTTTTAGGAGACATGAGGTCCTAAAACCTTTATCTCTAGCTTTTTTGGGGGGTGATGTTGATGCTGATGTCTCAGGGACCACACTCTGAGGACAATTACATAACAACCAGAGACCCGGACAGTGAAGTTTGCTCAAAACCAGGGTCTGGCCAGCACCAAGGTCTGGTGGCAGAGGACAAATACTAAGACCACAATCAACTCTTGTTTTCCCCAAAGTCAGTAACAGGTCCAGCCCTGTGCAAGTGCCCACAGTGAATCAAAAATCCAAGACGTGGAATGTTCCAAAATATAAAATGTTTTGAGAACTACCATGACACCCTCAAGAAAATTCTATGACATGCACGGGGCTGGAGCAATGGCTCATCGTTTTAGAACACTGGATGCTCTTCCAGAGGACCCAGGTTTTGATGGGGGATGTCCTTCTGTATATATGTTTGGTTCTCTTATTGTTTGGCCAATAGAGGCAGGGAGATAGATGGGACTAGGAGACGAGGAGAATCCTGGGAAAGGTAGGCAGAGAGGTGTCACACAGGGACACCATGTAAGCCACAAAGGAGTAACAAGTCCAGGTATTCTCCGGTAAGTCAAGACCACATGGAAATATATAGGTTAATAGAAATGGGTTAATAATTAAGACAGAGCTAGCCAGTAAAAAGCTCTAGCCATTGGCCAACAGTTTTGTAATCAATATAGTGCCCATGTGTTTATTTGGGGCAAGGCAGCTGTGGGACCTGGTGGGAAAGAAACCTTCAGCAGCAGAGTTTGGTTCCCAGCACCCACATTGGGTGGCTTACAACTGCCTGTGTCCCAGGGGATATGACACCCTCTTCTGGTCTCCCCAGGTACTGAACTCATATGCATATACCCATATAGACATAATTTTAAAATAATAAACCTTTATAAGCAAAATTTTGCATCACAAAAGTGTGATTTATGCACAATATTGTGTAAAGCCATTGTCACAGAATACACAGAAATCTGGAATGAACTTCGTGTTTAGACCTGGGACCTCCCCCAAGACATGTCTTTACACATATACAAATATCCCAGAAGTAGAGAAAATAATAAAAATCCAGAATCTAAGGCATTTCCAGTTCCTAGTCAATGCAGAAAGCCCAAAATGGCAGAAAAGAAAGCACACACGTGCACACATGCACACACACATACACACATTCATGTAGTTTTCAATGATGTCATTGGTCCTCCATGGATAAAGGGTTTTAACATTTGTCCATGTTGTAGTGTGTGTGTGTGTGTGTGTGTGTGTGTGTGTGTACATATTTACATACACACATATCTCTGTACGTATCTTGAACCCCTGACCTTCCTGCACTGGGCTTACAGACACACACCACCATGTGCTGTTTAAAAGTAGATATCTCACTTACTTATTTTGTGTGTGTATGTGTTGATACATGTTCATGTATGCGTATGTAGGTACACAGTCACATTCAGGTGCAGACGCACATATGTGTGCGTGTGTGTATGTATGGGTGCAGGTGTGTGTTCCTGTGAGTGTGGAGACCAGATAACAACTTCAGATTTCCTGCCTCAGGCAACATCAACCCATGTTTTTGAGTCCCTCACTGGGCTGTGCTCTCCTAGGAGCCAGGCCATTTGGCCAGTAAGCCTCAGGGCTCCACCTGTCCCCACTTTCCACAGCCCTGGATTACAAGAATGGATGGCCATCTCATCTTTACGTATAATTATAATTAGTGTGTGGATGTGAGGGGTGATGTATTTCCTCAACGCCCATGTAGGGACAGAGACCAGGAATAACTGTGGAGCCCTTTGTCCCCTCCACTTTCACCTGGGTTGAAGTCAGGTCACCATGCTTGTCCAGCAAGCACCTTCAACCATCTTTCCAGTCCCATCTATTTTTCCTTTTTACATGGGCTCAGGGAATCAAACTCGAATATTCCTGTTTGCAACACAAGCACTGTACTGACCTGTTTGGGGGTTCCTTTCCTTCCAGGTGTGAGGCTTCCCAGTGTTAATGGGTGGAGCTGGGCCCCTCTATCCCAAGGAAACAAATCACCTGGTTGCCCAAAGTGCTTGTTGCCACTCTGTATCTATAATGATGTAAAACTGGAAACAACCCCTACTCTGCTGCTGCCCCAGCACCACCCCCAGCCTATGGGGAACAAAATCAGCCATGAATGTCCTTCCGACACTGAAATTCTCTACTGAGAAGGAACAATAGCCCACACAGTGTCTGGCCAAAAGCATCTAGCAGAACAGAGCTAGTGTAGGTCTGTGAGTGGGAGCGGGGGCGTTTGTGTCTCCTGGAGATTATTTAACTAAATACTAACAGCTGCTGTCTAGAGGCAGCATTGGGAGATTTACATTTTTGTGTTAGGTTTATTTCTTTCTGGAATATCATGTTTCTTCATCTTGGAGGGGAGCAGAGAGAACTCTGTAATGGGGGATGGGTGGGCAACCAGAGACACTTTGATTTATTTATTTATCTGACAAATTCATACGTCTACTGATCCCCATTCAACTCTCCCCGGGCCTCTCCCACACACACACATATATCTCCCTCCCAAATTTCTTCCTCTTCTTCTGTAGTGACCCCTGAGAATTATCAGTGATCCTTGTGTGTGCATGGATATGAGGCCATCCACTAGAGCATGGGCAAACCTACCAGGAGAGCCACTTTGGTTTTGTGCTTTGGAGTACCCCCCAAAGCCCCACCCAGAATGTGGCTCCTCCCCACAACAAGCTCTGTGTACTCGTGTGTTGCAGACTCTGACAGCCAGTGCAGCCCCACACGGCACAGCCTCAGCCTGTCCGAGGGAGAGGAGCAGATGGACCGTCTACAGCATGTGGAGCTGGTGAGGACCACACCCATGTCCCACTGGAAGGCTGGCACAGTGCAGGCCTGGCTGGAGGTGGTGATGGCCATGCCCATGTACGTCAAGGCCTGTGCAGAGAACGTCAAGAGTGGGAAGGTAGGCAACTCGGCCCCTTGGGAATGATCCTTTACCTTCTTCATGGGTGCTATCCCCTCCCAGGAGTTGACAGTCTACATTCCACCCCCGGAACAAGAGGAGGTATAGCCTAGAAGTTGGCCAACTTATTGAAGGTCTAGGTCACCAATAAACCAGTCTTCCTAGCAATGAAATACAGCCCTTTGGAGTCATGCCGCTTTGTCCTTCAATTGGAACGAACCTCTCCTTAGCTGACAGAAAAGCATCAGAGCTGGACTGAAGAGTTCTTTAGCTTAGATGATGGCCCCACCCATCTTGGTCTAAGCAGTAGCCCACCCAAACCATGGTCCATAGCAGTAGCTGAGCCCAGGACACCCAGGAGCCCAGTGTAGGGTGACACAAAGGCACAACCAGGCATCAGGAAAGAGCTGAAGCAAGACGGTCCCAAGGGACATGGGTCCCACAGCTCCTAGAAACAGGCTTTTTTAGTTTTGGGGTTTTTTGAGATAACAGTTTCTCTGTGTAGCCCTGGCTCTGTGGACCAGGCTGGCCTGGAACTCAGAGATCCACCTTCCTCTGCCACCCAAATGCTGGATTAAAGGAGTGCACCACTACTCCTTAGTGACAGGCTCTGTTGGGAGTTTCCAACCATCACAGGCTGCAGGGGTGTCCTGTCTAGGGAGATGGGCTGGGAGGGGGATGTGGATGAGGAGCCCATTCCCTCAGAGCCTTCTGTATTGACCCCAGCAGCAGGGAACAGGGCCTGGGATTGCAGGTGCCATGGCCAGGCCCTCCCTAATCCTTGCCCATCTCTCACCTCCCGGCACTAAGTCTACTTTCTGAAAGCAGGTGCTTCTCAGCCTTAGTGATGAGGACCTGGAGTTGGGCCTGGGTGTGTGCAGCTCCTTGCACAGGCGCAAGCTCCGCCTGGCCATCGAGGACTACCGCGACGCGGAGGCTGGCCGCAGGTGAGTTATTGAAACCTGGAAAAGCAAGAACTTTCTGTCCTGAGCCTCCCTGTCACCCAGGCAAGCAGGACACTGGGTCACACCAGGCTTCAAGATATTGAGGATAGCAAAGATGTCCCAGGTGTACCCTGCCACCACAGAAAACTGAGCCCACAGGAGGAGGCACACATGCCCAGAACATTGGTGACCCACCTCCACCTCAGAGGAGGCATCCGGAGAGGGGGGAGCTCCCAGCACTCTTCTGTCTGCCCAGCTGGTGGGGACCAGGCCACATAGCTGACATGTATGTCTGCTCCACCTACTCAAGCTCAGGTCTGTCCACCCCAGAATGAAGGAATAGAGCAGGAGGGAAGACAGAGATCAGGGAGGTGGGCAGAATCGGCAAAGGGGCTGGATAGTCTCGTGGGAGTCTTTTACAGAGGAGTGGAGGCAACTGGTCCAGGCCTCTCTTAGCGGATGCACCTGATGGTGGCTGGGAGCCCTTCTCAGAATCCCGACTGTCCTTGCTGGTGCACGCCCCCACCCAGCCCCCACCCAGCCCCCACCCAGCCCCCACCCAGTCCCCACCCAGCCCCCACCCAGCCCCCACCCAGCCCCACTCTTTCCCTACTTCTCTCTTCACCTCCTAGGGTTCCATTTTTTTAGCAACTCTTTTGAAAAGGGAAGCCACCCTCCCCCAACACCCAGTCGTTGGTGCTCAGAGTGGGGAGGGGCCAGTTTTGTAAACCTGACACGGTCTGTTTTGCATAATTATCTCCTTCGCTGGTTTCCCACCGTTTCTGTACAGTTAATTAATCAAACCTGATGGCGTGTGCTGCTATCTGCAGAAGTTGCTTTGTGCATTAACAGAGAGATGGCAGGAGGGGACGGGGGAGGGGGCAGGCTGAGGGGCGGAGAAGCAGGGCCAGTTCCCAAGCAGAGAAACACAACCTTATGTGGCAGGAGAGGGGCCCTGATGCCAGGCCAAGGTGGCAAGGATTACAGGGAAGGGGTCTGAAAGCTGGCAGCTTGGGGTGTCAGGCTAGGAAGGAAGGGTTGATGGGGTGGTGCCGGGAGGGAGGCACCCTTCACCCTATCAGGCCTTCCCTCCCGAGGGCTCCTGAAGCACCTTCCCAGCCGCCTCCTTCCTCTAGACCCCGAAGTCTAGACACCCTGCTGCTCACAGCATACCCCACATCCTAGAGGTCTCCTCCATGCTGCCTGTGTCCCTCAAGCACGTGGGGCCATTGGCTTCAGCTCTCAGAAGTGCACTGAGTCCCCGACACTGCCCAAGCATCCACCACGGTCCCCAAAGCATGGCTGTCCCCTTCATCGTGGGTTGCCACAACAAAATGCTACCAATCAAGTGGAATGAACAACAGACATCTATTTCTCCCAGCTCTGAAGTCTAAGGAAGCAAGGGGCCAGGGTGGCCAGGCTCCTGCCGGGTACCCCTCCTGGTTATACATGGCAGCCGCCTAACACGAGGTGATGTCAGGTAACCCTAACGCCTCCCATGGGCCCACTCTGGATGCCATCACATAGACATGTGAATGAAGAGGACAAACACTGTTCCATAGCAAGGGCTGAGCCTGAAATCCACCTGGAGCTCACAAAGGTAGGGCTCAAAAGCACAGCCCCGTGTGCAGGGGAGAGTTGAAGCGGGATGGCCCCAAGGGACATGGGGTCCCCACATTAGACAGCCCAGGTCCTGTGGAGAGAGGCCTGACTGTGAGGTTCCTGTGCCAGGCCACTATGCCTTCTCTGGGACTCCGTTTCCCTACCTGTGAAGTAAAGAGGGAAGAAGTTAAGGGTTGGACCCTTTTAGGAATCCAGTAGAGGCTTCAATGTCTTCCCCAGACGAACTCCAAGACTACATAGCTTTGCAACTTAAGCCCTCTGACTTGGTCATGGAACTTCTAAAAGCCTGCAGACTCTGGGGTCAGAGCCCCAAGGTGGGCTGTCTGGAACGCTTTCAGCTGTGATAATGGACTTGGCCCCTCTGGGCCCAACAACCCCCTTTGCCGAACTTTCACCTATTTCTTTATGGAACACAATTCCACTCACCCATTCCACTCATTCCTCAGACACATTGTCTCCGTCTTAGAGATGAAGAACCACGTGCAGACAGAGAGCAGGCAAAGAGCCACACCCCCGCAGAGCTGGCTGTAATGCACTGTCTTTCCTCCTGCCCATGGTGCCAGGGTATTAGATGATGCCAGCGTCATCTCCTTCTGTTAGCTATAGCACTGGGCTTAGAGATTTCCATTCTCCAACTCCGTCAGTCCCCACCACTCCGAGCACTGCGTGCGGCTGGCTTTTTGTTTTGTTTAAAGAGGAAACTGAGTCCTGGAATTGAGAACAGTCTCCCACATCAGTCTCTGATGTGTGACCCGGATGGTCTCTACGTGACATGCCTGTCCTCCCACCTCGGGCTCTGGCCTAGCTCCACCTGAGGAAGAGGTACAGGCAACTGTTAATGGAAGTGACTGGATTCCTTTTGAAGCCAGACTTGAGTTCCTATGTCAGCTCTGAGTAGCAGTTGGGCAAGGGCAATGAAGCTTCAATGCAAAGGCATTTTGAAGGTCAGACACATGTTCTTTGGGAGCTGACAGAGGGACACTTGTTACAAGTGAGCCACTGCCGAGGAAGTCAGCTGGCCACCACCCCCAACAGTGGGTGCCATTGACTTCAGGAGGGGGCACTCTCTCCTCCCCGTGAGTGACAACCCTGACGGGCACATCCAATTCAGACCCAGGATGACCATGAGGGCTGGGGCTGGGCGAGGGCCCTCTGTGACAGTCCCAGAAGGAAGATTATCTTGGGCTGGAATGTTCTGGTTCAGGAGCTTCATCAGGGCAGAGTGGAGCCCAGTCCTCCCCTAGCCCTGATCTGTTTTCCATGCAGTTGATTATGAAACACACCAGGCAGCATTCACTCCATTGGGTGGGCCGAGTGAGCTGGCCTGGTCCTGGCCAGGACAATCTAGTGAGGGAGTTGGCCTACAAGCTGTAGTTAAACTCAACATGCCAGGTACATGTATGGGGACCTGGGACCTTAGGCAAGAGAAAGGACCCTGGTCCTGGGAGAGTCCCTGAAAGGAATTGGGGAGTCTGTAGGGGATGATAGAGAGGGGATGGTGGGAAGTAGGCCTGGAGACAGACAGAGGACAATGTCCTTGTCTTAGGGAAACAGGGAAGCAGTTCCAGGAGGTTGGGGCCCAGAGAAGGAGAGGGAGCCAGGAACTCATGAGACATTCTGCCAGCAAGTAGTGAGTGTTTGTTCATCAGCCCCACACCGATTGTACCGGTGAATATGTCCTTGGTCCTGACACCTCCTCTGTATGCTAAGTTAGGGGTGAGGGACAATAAACTAGTGGATAAATACCTTTATAATTAAATGCATACTGTGTTGAGTGCTTTGAGGGCAATAACCAGGACAGCAGGATTTTGAAGGAATGGACAACCTTAGATAGAGAGATGGCCCCTGGAGGAAGGAGGGGGAAGCCCTGTCAGCACCTTGGGTGTGGGCTCAGAAGATGCTCAGCAGGTGTTGGGATGATGGAAGTCAGGAAAGCATCTAAAATAGGAACAAATGGGGCATGCTAGCTATCTCCAGCTGCCCCAAAGAGAAGGGCAGCATCCCTTTGTAAGCTAATTGTGTTCCCTTTTACGGAATGCTCCCTTCATGTTTGCCCCCCCACCCCCCCCACTCCATCCCCACCCCCACCTCCACCCCACTCCTGCCTAGACAATGTTGTGCTCCCATCAGCCGTCACTAGGTCATTTTTCAGGTTCCCTCTGCACCATGTTAAGAGGACCTAATTCCTTCTATGAGGCTGCCACCATGTGGCAGTTGAAGGAATCACAGCTAGGAATCACCTTAGCCAGGTGTATCCTCACCCATCAACAGAGCCTTTTTGCAGAATGCACCCCAGGTGGCTCATAACCAGTACCTCCAATACCAGGTAACCAGACACCCTCTGGCCTCCAAGGACACCTGCACACACATGGTGTGCATGAACTCACACAGGCACGCCCGCACATACGCATCAAAACTGAATAAATATTTTAAAGCCTTTTGGAACACTTACAATGTGCATGTTCTTGAGGTTCTGTCCTGCACAAAAGTCCGAAGTGTGGCAGCAAGGTAGCAAGAGCAGCCTAAGGGCCATCTGGGTTTCTCTGACCCAAAGATGAGCACGAGGGAAGGGCTAAGCCACAGCCCCGGTTTGGGACAGAAGACTCGGGACACTACGGGCGGATCCATGAAGGCTTCTCATCCTCCTCCAAACAGGAAAAGTGACCAGATGACAGCAGACAAATGGACAGGGGAGGAGGATGGTCAGCCTGGGGCTTTGAGGTGTCCTGGGCTCTGGAGAGCCCTAGGGAAATAGGATGGGTCAAGGCCAGGAGGGCCCCGCAGAGGCACGCCTGCTGTGGGTAACCCTTCTCCTGACACACTTTTCAGTTTTAGTCTGAGTGTGGTCCAGGGATGTTCATTTTGTCCCTGTGATCCTCTGCTGTTCTTTAGTTCTGTCTGTCTCTCTGCCTTCCTCCCGCCACACCCACCTCTTCCCGAGTCTTTCTGTGTGTCAGTTCGTGTATCTGCCTGTCTGTTTCTGCCTCAGTCTCTCTCTGCCTATCTTAGTCTCTCTGTATGTGTCTGAGTCTCTGTCTCTGTCTCTCTCTCCACATCTCTGATCGTCCCATTCTTTTCTTCCCCTCTATCTCTTTCTTCTCCATCCCTTTCCCCATTGGTCGCTGGCTTTCTTGTCTACTCCTTGCCCCGCCTTTTGACCTCTCTACCCATCTCTGGTCCCATTTCCACCTGCCCCTGTCTGACACTTTCCCACTCCTTCCTCTCTCTGGCTGTGTCTCCTTCTCAGCCTGTCCAAAGCTGCCGACCTGGACCATCACTGGGTGGCCAAGGCCTGGCTGAATGACATCGGCCTGTCCCAGTATTCCCAGGCCTTCCAGAACCATCTGGTCGATGGGAGGATGCTGAACTCCCTGATGAAGCGGGACCTGGAGAAACACCTGAATGTCTCCAAGAAGTTCCATCAAGTTAGCATCTTGCTGGGGATCGAGCTACTGTACCAAGTGAACTTCAGCAGGGAGGTAAGGACTATAAGGGGAGGTGCAGGGAAGGACTCTCCCACAATGCTTCTCCACATCTAATTCCTGTCCAGACATCTACCCACCCACCCACCCACTGATCCATCCACTTATTCATCCATCAATCTATCGACCCACTCACACATCTACCCATCTATCCACTCATCTGTTTACCCACCCACCTCTCCATCCACCTATCCACCTATTGCCCATCTACCCCATCTATCCACCTACCTACTGTACATCCATCCAACCCTTCACCCACCCACCCATATACCTACCCACAGTCAATCTATTCCCCATCTATCCACCCACCCACTTTCTATTCCACTAACCCCCATCCATCCACCCACCCATATATACACATCCATTCACCCATCCATCCATTCATCCATTCATTTGTTCACCCATTCATTCATTCACCCATCCATCCATTCATTCACCCATTCCTTCATCCAACTATCCCTCCCTCTCTCCCTCTTCTAGCTACTTCTTACTTGAGTAGACTAGAGCCTATGATCAGCTCAGGGGACCTAGGGAACCCTCAGCCTCAGAGAATTCATTGCTCATCAGAGAGAATCACTGAGGTCCATGGTGGCAACACAGGAGAGGACAGCCAGGGCTCTCCGAAAGCTGAGAAACACCTTCTTGGGGATCAAGGAGAGTTCCCGAGGCCATGGAGCTAAACAAAGAGTTGTTGCAGAGAGCAGCAGCTGACAATTAAGGAAGAAAATGTAGCTGAAAAAGCCATGGGGACCAAGTCCCAGAGTCCAGCGCTGCAGCAGCAGTAAACCAGAATGAGAATGGGTGGGCAGTGGCCTTGGGATGCGGGATGTAACCGGAGCCCTGGCTGTTCCGATGCCCCTTGATTCTGAACTCTGCTAAGCCAGAGAGCACAGGGCCCCAGACTCAGTCCCCTACCCCTGAAGAAGGTCCCTGAGAGGCTGGTCCTCAGGGCCAGGTCCTTATGGTTGACGTTTTTCTAGAGCCATGGCAGAGCATTAGCAGCTCAGTGTTGAGAGAGGAACACAGAGAAGGCTGTCAGCCTTGTGGCTCTGTCACCTACTGCATGACTGGGCAGAAGGAGAGGATGGGATGGGGCAGGCCTTGGCCTCTAGGAGCCCCAGTGTGATGAAGAGGGCGGACATGGGGTGTCCTGACAGAATACATGGAGCAGGTTGCAATGGGGAAAGAGGAGGGGACATTGCCTGGAAGCCCTAGAGAGGATGCCTTAATCACTGTTCTATTGCTGTGAAGAGACCCTGTCATGGAGGCAACTTATAAAAGACAGCATTTAATTGGGGCTTGCTTACAGCTTCCAAGCATGAGTCCATTGCCATCATGGCAGAAAGCGCACAGGCACTGTGCCAGTGCAGTAGCGCAGAGCTTACTTACATCTGACACACAAGCAGAGGCAGAGAGAGGGAGACTGGGAATGGCATAGGCTTTTGAAACCTGCCCACCTTCTCCAATAAGATCACAACTCCTAGTCCTTCCTTAACAGTTCCACCAAGTGGGAATCAAAGATTCAAATATATGAGCCTATGGGGGCCACCCTCATTCAAACCACTTCGGAGGGAATGCCTCTGGGGCTCTTGGCCTGGGAATCAGCCCCCTGGAGCAACCTGTGAAAGGGGAGCAAGCTGACTGATCCCTAGGACCCCAAAGATGGTATTTTAAAACAGGGCACACAGACCCCAAGAACCTCCTACCATAGGCAGGGTCTCCACAAATATCTACTGAGCCCGTTCCCATCACTGGGGCAGTAATGCCACAGGCCAAGGGGACACTGAGTAGACAGAGAGTGGGTCTCTATCCAGCCCATACACCTGATCCCCTGAAGCCTAGGAGATGGTTCCTTCTGTTTCTCACAACACAGATGGTGTGGTTCAGGCAGCTGTGGGCAGCTCTCATCACACTAGCACTCAGAAGTCCCTGCTAACATCAGGGAACGTCCTTCTGCATGTGCCCTCCTTGTGTTCCTCATCCTCTCAACTGACTCTGTTCCCCATCTCCCAGGTCCTCCAGGAGCGCCGAGCCCGCTGTGAAACACAGAACACAGACCCAGTGGTCTGGACCAACCAGCGGGTGCTCAAGTGGGTGCGTGATATCGACCTGAAGGTAAGGGGCCATGGTGGCGGATGGGGCTGGTTCTCTAACCTATGCAAATCACATGCAAACCAATGTCCTATTTGATGTAAGGTAGGGAGCACCATCACCCAGCCCGACAAGTTCACACACTTTCTGTCACTGGAGGAGGATCCCTCACTGCCACAGTAGGACCCCTGTCATTACTGGGGCAATTCCTAGCAATATTTTTTCCATAAACATCTATGGCTCCTACCAGGGTTCAGCCAGTGTCAATGACACAAGACTCCTATGTTTACAGCTCTGAGGATGAGGAACAGGTCCCCTTCACTCTCAAATCAGTTGACCCCCCTGGGTGAAACCCTTGCTGTTGGGGTCCTATCTCTGCTTGGGCTCAGTTGGTCCCCAAGACCTACCAATCTCACATTTCTGCCCTCAGGAGTATGCCGACAACCTGACCAACAGCGGTGTCCATGGTGCTGTGCTGGTTCTGGAGCCCACGTTCAATGCCGAGGCCATGGCCACTGCCCTAGGCATCCCCAGTGGGAAGCACATTCTCCGGAGACACCTGGCAGAGGAGATGAGCACCGTCTTCCATCCAGCCAAGTGAGTGTGTAGGGCGCAGGCGCGAGGAGTAGGGCGCAGGCGTGAGGTTACGGGCCTTGAGCCACACGGCGCAGGCTGAGGATGCTGCGGGTCGTTGGATGCAGAGCACAGGATGAGGAAGCACATGGTATTGTCACAGCCTTGGTCCTTGCTTGGCTGGGTGCCACCCATCCTTGCACCAAGCTGATCAGGAACGGAGGCTCTGAGGTCAGATGGTAAAAAGAGGAGCCTTTGGGTCCTGAATGCTACACTGGTCAAATGTGCACCGCTGGGACATTTAGAACAGGGAGATTAAGCAGTTGTGAGTGAGAAAGACCCAGTGAGCTGTGGCTTGAGCTGGGGACAATGTGCACTGATTTCACAAAACACGGTGGCCATTCTGCCAGGTGTGGCCATGGAGACAAAGGGTTAGAGGCTGGACTTGGCATATAAGCTGTGCTTATGATCCAAGGAATCAGAGTATGGCCACCCGCCTACTCTAAACCCCTTGCCCAGAGAGTGATCAAGATGAACCCCCAGACAGCCCAGACCCTCTCTGTGGACGCTGCCCTTACAAGTGGCCCACTGGGGTCATGCTAGGGCATGGATCAGCATTTGTTCAGTGCTTACTGGGGACGTATTTCATCCTAGCATCCCTTCATAGGTGACAAACTGATTCTAATGGCCACTGCTTCCCAAGGCCACCCAGCAGCAAGTGGCCATATCCTGCCCAGTCTCGTGCTATATGGATACTGTGAATTATGTTTTTGTTCATATTCGAGCCAACCTTGCCTTCTTGGAACAGGTCTCATTGCTCAGAGTGTACATTTCATTGGTGTGGTGTGAGATTTTTACAGTAATATCCATAAGACTTGCCTATCTATACAGTTTTGATTTGGTTTGGGCTTGGGTTTGTTGTTATTTGCTTGTTTTTCTTTGAAGAAGAGTTGGAATTTATTAAAAGAATTTTTTTTTAAGCAGGAAGGTTAAGAGAAAGAGAGGAGTTTTGGAAGAAAATAAGACAAACTACTCATGCTGGGCGTTGGTGGTGCATGCCTTTAATCCCAGCACTCGGGAGGTGGATCTTTGTGAGTTTGAGGCCAGCCTGATCTAGAGCAAGTCTCAGGACAGGCTCCCAAGCAATACAGAGAAACCCTATCTTGAAAAACCCAACAAAACAACAACAGCAAAAAGACATTCTACTCAAGGGGGGGCTGAACAGATGGCTCAGTGGTTAAGAGCACTATCTGCTCTTCTCAAGGGCCGGGGTTCAATTCCCAGCAGCCACCTAGCAGCACACAGCTAACTGTCTGTAAGTTCTATAAGTTCCCACAGACATGCAGGGAAAACAGCGATACACATTAAAATATAAATAAATAATAAATAAATGGCACACTGAAAAGCAGGGATGTGGGCTTCTCAGGAGAGAGATAGCTTTGTTTGTTTTGGGGGGACTTGAGGGGAGCAGGTTACTGCTGTCTTTGAGACAGGGCCTCACTACGTGGCCCAGGCTGGCCTTGAATCATGCACCCTGCTGCCCTAGCTTCTCTGAGTGCTGGAATTGTAGGTATATGCCACCATACCTGGCCTCAAGTCTCCCTGCTTCTCATGCTTTCTATCTGGTTTTGGTGTCAGTGAAGTCCTGGCCTGTCAGGGCGAGGAAGGAGGTGTTCCCTCCTCTCCTGTTTTTTGTGGAGGGGCTGTAGGGCAGGTGTTCATCATCCAAAAGCCATCTGTTTCTTAGGCTTTCACTGTGGGAAGGGTTGTGATCACTAATTCAATCTGTACTTGCTAAAAACTTACCTAGATATTATATATATATATATATATATATATATTTACTTTGTGTGTGTGTGTGTGTGTGTGTGTGTGTGTGTGTGTGTGTGCGCGCGCGCGCGTGCTGGTACCCAAGGAGTACAGACAAGGATTCTAGACTTATGCATACTTGCAAGCCACCTGATGTAGGTGCTGGGACCCTTTGGGAGGGCAATGAATACTCTTAAACTCTAAGCCATCTGTGAAGCCCCGGACTTTCAATTTCTTCCTGAGCCCGGAAGGCTCTTCTTCTTAGAATCGCCTCCTTTTCCCTAATGACAATTTTTAACAGGCTTAAAATACTGAGGGCCCTGGAGGGGCAGCTTGGGCCAGGAATCAGGAGACATTGGTGGAACTGCTTAGAGCTTGGCTAAAGAGGTAGCAGGTGTCTCTGAACTACTGGGGTTAGCAGGTGGGCACCAAGGAGGTCTGGAGGGAGAGCAGGAGGGTGGTTCCTTGTGATTGGTTGGGCCATCAACTCCTTGGGTGCTGCATGAAAGCTGTGGGGTTCCTGCCTCTGGATCGGAAGCAAGTGGGCTTGCCCCGGACTGGGAGGCTGGTGGGCCAGGGCCAGGGAGGCAGTGCAGCCTTCAGTCTAGCAACCTGCTGTCACCTCTGTCCATGGTGCTGCCCCCACCTATCACACTTGGTGGGGGAGGCAAGGTCCCTGAGTTGGGGTTCAGGAAGCTTTGCTGAGACCCTGCCATGAACCCCAGGAACAGACCGCAGCCAGCTGAGAGGACATAGAACCCCAAGAGTTCTAAGGAGTTCAGACACCACCTCGGTGGCTGAGAGAGCCCTCCACCAGAGAGCGTGGTGGGACGCTTGAGAGGCGTCCTAGAGTTGATATTAATGGGACAGTTCTTCAGTGTGTGAGCCACACAGGGGAGGCCTCTGGCCTCTGCCCTCCTCTGTCACTACCTTCAGCTTTCAGAGAGGAGGAGAAGCAGGGTGGGGGATGGTGGTGCTGCCAGTTGAGTGGGAAGGTTCCAGCTGGGGAAACATTCCTAGTCATTAAGATCAATATCAAGGCTCCAACCTGGGCAGCATCCCAGGCTGGGTAAACACAGCTCTCCTTCACAGTAATATCAGAATATGTCATCAGCAAGGTGCTGTCTCTTTTCTGCTTCATTTGTCCCTCAGTCTCTCTCTCTCTCTCTCTCTCTCTCTCTCTCTCTCTCTCTCTCTCTCTCTCTCACACACACACACACACACACACACACACCACATGAGAAAGGAGCATTGATGTCTATGTTTAACCAGCGCTGGAGTTGAAACTGGGGGCCCTGCATATTCTAGACAAGCACTCTATAACTGAGCTATATCCACAGCCTTTTTGTTCCTTTTAGTTTTATTGTGTTTTTATGTGTACCGGTGTTTTGCCTGTGTTTGCACCACACGCATGCCTGGTGCCCATGAAGGCCAGAAGGAAGAGGGTGCTGGCAATGGAACCCGAGTCCTGTCTCTGATGCAGCAGCCAGTGCTCTTAAGCAGTGGGGATGTGGGTGTGGGGACAGTGGCAGCGGGTTGACTCTCTGACTAACAGCACAGCCTTTGAAATGTCCCAGCTCCACAGGCATCCGGGAGCCTGAGCGCTTTGGGACACCACCCGGCAGGGCCTCCAGCGTCACCAGAGCTGGGAAAGAGGAGAGCAGCAGCAGCAGCAGCAAGTACCGAGCCAGCCGGGTAAGTAGTCGTTCTGTCCTTAGGGCCAGGCATCCTCCCCTGGATGTCTCTATGGCTCCTTTGTCATCTGTGAACCTGGAGCAGCCTCAGGTCACAGGTGCACACAGGAGAGCCACCAAGTATCTGGGCCCTTGCTTAAGACAATGCCCAGTGACAAGTGTCCATACAAGGCAGAGTCTATGGCAGGGTGTCTATAGACTGTGGGGTCCCCTCATCCTGGCCTCCTGAAGCAAATGGGCCCAGGGGTGTGGAGCACCTCACATAGCTGGCTGCTGGGAGGGTCAGGGAGCGCTGGACTCTGAAAACCCTCTGACTTAGATTCTGAACTCCATGGTCAACAGGGACCCTCTAGTGTACCAGCAGGGCAGCTGCCCAGAGACCAAACAGAAACTCAGGTTGTGATTTGGACCGTGGTTGCCACACCCGTGTCTTCCTTCACTTGGTGGCACCTGAACCTCAGTGAACACAAGAGTGGCAGCGCAGGGACAGGTTCCCACCAGCTCCCGAGGGCACTTCATCCTGGGCGTGCCACGCTTTGCTGTGGTTTTGGTTTTATGGTGCTGGGAGTCACCCCCAGGGCGTTGTATGTGCTAGGCAAGCACCCTGGCACTGAACGACACCCCAACCAGCATTCCTCATTTTCATGTTTTGTTTTATTTGCTTTTAAAAATATTTCTATTATACGTGTGTGCTCGTGCACAGACACACGAAGCTCATGTGTGCATGCCACAGTATGCTTGTAGAGGTCAGAGGACAACTTGCAGGAATCAGTTCTTTTCTACCACCACGGTGGGTGCCAGGGACTGGACTCAGACACCATTACCTGCTAAGCCATCTCACCAGCCTGGCCCTGCTGGTTCTTGAGACACACACATCTCACTGTCTAGCTGAATTGGGCCTAGAACTCACCACCCTCCGGTCCCAGCTTCACAAGTGCTGGGATTAAAGGTGAGTGGCCTGTTGAGGTTGTAGGGCTTGCATTCAGTTGCAAGTACCTTCATTCCAAAGCAGTGAAAATTTGGCGGATGCAAAAAAACATAAAAGATTCTCTCTTCATACCCTGCACTGATATACAGGTGTTGCCTAAGCAGACACACAGTAGGGCAATCAGAAAGCCTTGTCTGAAAAGTCCTCCCAGGACAGCGACTGTCGAGTAGGGAAGGATGCACTGGTCTAGAATGATGGGCAGTGGAGAACACAACTGACTAAAGTCAACTCAGAACCAGAGGGTCCATCAAGAGGCCGCTATGCGGGTGTGGGGGATGAGGACAGGGACAGTTCCCGCAGGGTACCCAACTCCCCCTCCCCCCAGAGCCTTACAGATGCCTGCTCCTCCCAACAGTCCACCCAGGCCTCTCTATCACTTTCCCAATCTTGTAGCTGAGAAAATCAAGGCTCAGATAAGAGCAGTGACTCATTTCTGTTTCCACAGCAGGAAATAGAGAGCTGTGGCTCTAAAGGCCGCCTGCAAGCCCCAAGCTCATTCTTGTGGCCACACCAGGTGGTGGTGGAATGTCCCCTCTGGGCTGAGCATGCAGGTGACACTAGAATATTCCCTCTGGGTTGAGCACACACTATGACCTCACACTCACGCTTATACACATCCCGTCTACCTGCTCTCAACAGGAGGAAGTCAGGAGACTGACTGTAGGACCATGAGTCCGAAGTCACCCTTGGTAACTTGAATCTCTCTAGCTGGAAACTCAGACATTGATTCCTCATGGAAACACCCCCAAATCCCTTCCATGTGTCTGGGCAGTAGGGGTGGTACTAATAATGGAAGAGCCCAGAGAGGTCTAGGGAGATGCTGAAGGTCACACAGCAGTTAGATTGGAGATGCCACGCTGCCCGGTTCTCACCTCTCTTCCTCTGTCCTCTGGTTTGTATCTGTCTCCTCAGCTGCCCCTGGGGAAGATAGGAAGGGGCTTCAGCAGCAAAGAGCCGGACTTTCATGATGACTATGGCTCCCTTGAGAACGAGGACTGCGCGGACGATGACCTCCAAGGCAGGCCTGAACAGTGCCGCTTGGAGGGTTACAACAGCCTGGAGGTCACCAATGTGTAAGAAAGCCATGTGATACGACTCCGAAAGAGCAGACAGAAGAGCAGCCCAATGGCCCAGTGCTGCCCCCCCCCCACTGTACAGAGAGACCTGGGGCTGAGGGAAGATGCAGGACAGACTTTCCAGAGATGGCCACCACTTCCAGTGGGCACCAAGAACAGAGAATGCCCATCTAGGTGTCTTGTATCTCTGAGGACAGGCACTGAAGACACACCAACCAGCCATGACCCGGCAAGTGGCCCCAGCGCTGTGGTTCAAGGAACAAGCCAGGTACCCCTGGCACTTTAGCTGAACTTCCAAGAAGGGGACGAGGAGTGTCAGTCTCTGGACTACCTTGCTGGCAGGAGCAGGAAAGCCCCAGCCAGCCTTGGCAGAGCCGGGGGCATTGAAGACCAGGTGCAAAGCCAGCCAGCAGTGGCCAAATGGTGATGCCACCCCTCAAGCCACTGGGCAGAGACCATGAACTTTGACCTGGTCACTCACACTGGAAGGATGCAAAGTGGCATGGGCATCCCTTCCGCTTAAGGGACTACATCGTGAGGTGGACTCGTCGGGAGCAGGAGGGGATCTCTGCAGGTCAGAGGGGCCTGGCAGCAGCAGCCCCAAGGGCTGCAAACATCCTGTCACCAGAATGAATGTGACTTCAAGAATGTGAGGGGAGGCGGGGTTTACTGAGCTCTGTCCCAAACAGCCGTTTCGAGCATGGGCACAAAATGGAAAGGTGCAGGTCGTTAACCCAACAAACCTCTGTTGTGAAGTCACTTGAGACAGGTGTGCTCACCCACGACCTCACAGAGGGGCAAATCCAAGGTCGCTGGGCTCTTTGACCGTGTGGCTTCCTCCCTCTCTGTGCCTCAGTGTCTTACCTATAATACTTCCGGTTCCTCCCAGGGCAGCTGTGGGGACTAACATTCGCTAACACTTGTCACAAGCTTTGAGCCTCTCAGGAAACAACTGGAAGGGACGGGATGGGGAGGAATGAGCCTAGTAACTTCCACCCACAACATTTGCAGACACTGTATGAGCTCACTCCATTTTGCTTGGGTCAGTGGGCAAGAGGGGGTTGCAGAATGTTTAATAGTGAGACTTTCCCAAGTCCCCAGCAAGGCCTGGGAGAGCCACCACCATGGCCTGCAGTCCTCCTGGGTGCAGTATCCAGGCCCAAACCCACAGAGCATGAACTTAGCCTGTTGACACTACGGAGGACTGGCAGGACGCTGTGCTCTGCACGGTTATTCTGCAGTAACTTTCTCTGAGGCCATTTGCACCAGAAGTCCAAGGAAGGTCCAGATTCCCAAAGCTGACAGTGTGGGCAGCCTCTGAGCCACCAAAGCCAGTCTTCTGCAGCGGTATAGTGTCCCCTTGTGGAAGGACTACACACAGCTCATGAACTTGAGAGTTGCTGGTCCCTGTGTTGAAGACACTGTCTCTCTAATGGTCCCATAGGCACAGTCTTACTCATAACCCGAGTCCACCAGGACTGGGAGGACCTTTTGCATGTCAGCCTCCAAATGACACACATCAACACCAGAACCTGCAAGGTGAACCTCTGGTGTATAGCCCAGCTTTGTGCAGGTTCTGCACCCCGGAAGATTTATAATATGCATTCCCACCCTTGGAATCCCAAAGCTACTGAGCCCACAGCCCAGCAAGGAGAGGGAAGCCCTCTTCTAACTGAGGTCAACTGCCATCTCAAACTGTGTCCCTTAAGGGTGACACAGCTTCCGGACCCAGGAATGTATCAACGACCTCTCTGGAAAGGTTGCTGGCGATACTGGCTCCTTGAAGGGGAAGGTCTAGGTATACTTTCTTCCTAACGTCAGGAGGTCCTACATCATCAGAAGGCTCCTTCCCAGTGGGCTTCTGCCCCTGGCACCTCTGCCAGTCTCCATCCACACCCAGTGGTCACTTCTAGCAGATTCTGCCTTGACTCTTTGATACAGGAGGTTGTCATGTGACCACTAGCTAGAAGAGGAGAGAAGGGATTTCTCCTAAGCCAGGCCAGCATGGGGCACTTAGAACAGAGAACCCCCTTCCCCGATCCCAAAGATTGACGTCATGAAGATAGGTGGGATCTTGGCAGGTATGGCTCTGGACTTCACTGCAGGGGCATGGGGAAGAGACAGCTCTGCTAAGACCATGGCGCCCTTCCCAGAAAGCCACTTATTCCAAGGACCAATTCACAAGCAGCAAGGGGAAGTGCCTCCTGGGTGGTGGCAACTTCTGGCTTTCACTTTAGGAGAAGCCAGTGTGGATGGGGACAATGACCCTGACCCAACCCACGAAAGGTTTGTAAATGCATAGCAGATAAGCCATGGATGGCCAAGCTCGCACACCTTCCCAGAGGGAATTCTAACAATGTAACAATAAATGCTTGGCCTTGAGGCCACCCCTCTTTTCTCCTTGACTTTCTCGTTTATTGTTCCAGCATCTTCTCAGAGAAGGGAGACTAGGGGCCCCTGAAACTGATAGGGGTGCTTCTTAGAAAGGCTGAGGGTCTCAAAGTGGTTAGGAGTGTGGATGCTCACCACAAGTGGATACATCAGTCAGCACAGCTTAGTGGCAACGCCGTGGCTCCAGGGACCACACACAGGTACCAAAGTCATGACAGAGGGACCTCCCCAGCCAAGACCTTGTCATCATAGATGGTGCTGGACTGTGGGTTTTACCCAGGATTCTTAGTGTTCCTGACAGAAACCACCAGCCTAGCCCTGCTCATCCTACCTGCATCTCTTCTGGCTTGAGACTGAGGTCAGGTGTGTGTGCCCTCTGAAATAGGTGCTTAGTGGGCAGACGATGGAGACCTGTAAGAAACAGAAGGCAGCCTGGTCACAAAGTTTGCCTGCTGCCACCAGACCTGGTGACTCTAGGCAAGTATCCCAAATGTCCTGTCTGTCCTCTACTAATTTTTTGTTTGGTTTGTTTGCTTTTTGAGCCAGGGCCTTGGTCTAGCCCAGGCTGACCTGGGAGTCATTCTATAGCCCAGGCTAGCCTCTAAGTCGACAATAATCCTATCTTGGCTACCTAAGTGCTGGGTTACAGACGTGTGCTTCCACAGCTCGCATGTTTCTGTTTGGTGTTAATGAGATAGATTTGCTGGGAGTGTGAGGTGAGGCTCGTGTGTGGGACTTCTTACTGAATCAGGCCATTTAAGTGCTTTGTTCTGTGTCAGGCACTCATGGGCTGACAGGGTGTCTTTGCCCTCTAAGCCTGTCAGTCACAGAGCAACTTTCTTCTGGGGAGGAGGGAGGTGGATGCAGCTTCCATATTTGCCAATAAGGAAATCTTTTCTGCTCTGGGGAATTGGACTGTAACCATCTATGTGGCCAGGTGGCCCCAGGCTGGGACTGTGTGGCACTGTGGGTAGCTCTCAGACCTGGAAAAGAGCCCACATTGAGGTCCTAGCTCCTTTCATTAGGGAAGGTACCAAGTGGATACTCACATACATACATATCACTATGCCTTAATTTTCCTGGCTGTTATATGAGAAGAGCTGTCCTTAATTGAGGGGGCCACTGTGGGGATGAAATAGGCAGACCTACATACAGCTGGAACTCAGGTAGAAATAATTGCCCTTTCCCCCCCCCAGGGACATCTGGCCACCTCTGGAGAAATTTGGGGTGTGGAGGGAAAGCTAGAGAGTCAAGCTCGTAGAATACACTCTGGCCGAAGACATCAGTGTAGCACTGTCATAGAGTTCACACTGAGCCTTTGGGTTAGTGTCTGTCCCCACAGCCTCAATTCTGTCCCAGCACGTCTGTGAACTGCCAGGACTGACTGCTTCCCTGAGTGTCACAAGGCTCCTCTCCCCTGAGGCCTGCTTCCTCACTCTCACCTGGAGGGAAAGGGTCTTCGGTCAAGAGAGAAGCCCCTCCGGCCCCATCAGAACATCCCAGGGCTTCATGGACTAGCCAGTCCCCACATCTGCAGGGTACCACTGGAGAATTCAACCAGCCTTGACAGAAATACTCAGAAAGACAACTGCATTTGTCCTCACTCCCTGCGCGGTGTGACACTAAGTTCTTTCTATCTGTGCGTCAAGTAGTACTGACAGGTGTGGGTTATCCACGGGGCACTTAAAGCATTTGGGAGGGTGCCGGAGCATGAACTGTAAATGGCAGTTTCTGTTAAGGCCTCATTCTCATAGCTGAGTGACCACAGTGGGTCCCAGACACGTATCCCCATCCCTGGAAACCGGGGGAGGATGGTTCTCTAGTTTCGTTCCTCTTGAGAGCTGGAAAACCCAGCATACACTGACCCCACACCTGGTGGGTTAGAAATACTGGCCTGTCTGAGCCAGTGTGACCACCTCAGAACTTCCATAGAACTATCAGGAGACAAGCCACACCCAGAGCCCAGGGCTGGCTCCTTCTGGGGCCTCTCTCCTTGCCCCATGGGTTCCTCGTGGCTGTTCCTCTACATTCACACGTATGATAACGCCATACCCATCTGTTCATAGACACACAGATCACACTGCACCAGGTACCCCACACCACCAGTGCCATCCTCATTTTCACTTGATCTCCAAGTACTGTTAGAGTCATAGGCGCTGGGGCTATGGTACCAGCATCTGGAGTAGGAGGGGATAATATGGTCCAGCCGGTAAGAGTCCCCCACAACTCAGGGTGAGTCTCAATCACTTAGTGTCCCAGTTCAGTCTCCCATCATCTTTTGAGTTTAAACCCAAAGAAAAGATGATTCCCACCCCTTCCCTCAACTCCTACAAAGCAGTTAATTATCTTCACACAACCACGCACACGCATGCACACCCTCAACCTCCCCACTCCACAGCAAGATCTGCATCTGTGTTGGGGAGTGACGTGGGAGAGAGGAGCAAGACAGACAGCTCTGAATTCTCCTTCATAGAAACATGGACCAAAGTTTGCTATTCAAGACACCAAAGGCGGTAGTCAGATGTTCAGCAGTGGCCACCCTGTGGCTCCTTATTGCCTCCTCCCAGGGACCTCCAGGATTTCCATTTTCATATATAATTCAGAAGCAGGGTCTAGATCGCCGCATTAAAACTAAAATGTGTATCTGCAGG